GCAGAAAGGGATTATGGATGACACTGCATTGTTCTAGCTGCTCCTCATGCCACCTGTCTCCGAGGAAAGTCTGACACAGATAAGATATTGAGTCAGGCTAATGCTGGCAGCAGATCCATTGATGGTACCCTGCGTTATCAGTAGAGTCTTCCATTGGGTTCACAATTTTGATCTGTTCTGGGTATGTGACAGATCTCATTGATTTTGGTACCTTGATGTCAATCAGATCATTTGGAATGGTGAGTTCATGAGAAGCAGTCTGAGCACATATATATAACCTGCTCAGTAGTCTTTCACCTCTGATGAGCTGGATTCACTGCTACTCTAATCTGGTGTTGCCAAGCATCATAGGAAAATGAGACAGTTGCATTGCCAACTGATGCAGCCCAGGCAAATCTGGCTGTGGAATGAATGGCATATTGTCCTTGAATGGTATAGGCCTGACCACCTGTAAGATGACTGGAGAACTGGACAGCTTGGGCTGGTAAGGGATGGTCATGCCTTTTGGGGAGGACTCCAACATGACCACGCAGATTGCTTGACACACTCAATGATGAATTGCAAAATGTCAGTAATCGTGATGGTCGGCTCAGTTGAGTTGGGAAGCATATCACTGGCCACTTGGACATGAGTTCCAGTACTCTCTCATTATTTCCTTTATCTTGCAACTACTTTTCCCTGTAAGAGAGCCACACTGACTAGCAGGGACCACCAGTCTCAGGGTGACTGGAGATCCAGTGGCAGCAGTACTACTGGTCACAGAGATGCTGATATGCTGTTTCAGTTTGTCAATGATGAGAGCAAATGCTTTAAAGATGACAGCATTAGTGGGGCCAGCCAAAGTGATAATTCTATCAGGACAATTTCCCTCTGAGATGTTGATATGTGCACGACTCACTCTCTTCTTGCATCTTTTTACTTTTTTCGATGAAACTGCCAACTTATTTTCCATGCATAAGCAGGCAGATAGTGACAGAAACATTTAACCTACGGTCAATCATCCTGGTGTCCATGTTGAGCAAGTCTTCTGGGGAGCAGGACTTTAAGTGGTGAAGTTTTAGATCACTGGCTAAGTGAAGGTAAAAAATTGCAGGCACAAGTCAACTGCAGGGGGGGAGGGGGGAAGGGGGAACGGAAAAACGGGCTGCGGGGGGGGAGGAGCAGAGAGAAGGTGAGTGGGACCTGTGGGCAGGTAGAGGAGGAAAGGGGAAAGAGACACTGGGCAGGAAAAGTGATGGCGAAGGTGGTGGTTGCTCCTGCCGTTGCCTCTGTTGGTCTGGCTCCAGGAACTTTTTGAAGCCCCCATGTATATACATACAAACACAAACAACAAATATGTGTGTGTGTTGTTGCTAGCTGCCATCAAGTTGGTCCCAAATTATGGTGACAGTGTGTAGAACAAAATGAAATGTTTCCTGGTCCTGAGTCATCTTCATGATGCCATACGACCCTATGTATGTATACACACATAGGCAAATTCATTACTTTTACAGTATGCTATACATACGTTTCCTGGTGTGGCGCTGTGGGTTAATGTGCCAGACTGCAAAGCCATTTGAACTGCATGGTCGGCGGTTCAAGCTCACCAGCGGCTCCTCAGAAACCCTATACAGGGTCACTATGGGTCAGAATCAACTTGACGGCACTTAACAACATACCTATGTTATACGTCAACCAAAAGAAAAAGGAAGTAAGAAAACATTTCTGAAGAAAAAAAAAGTGCAAAACTAAGCGTTAATGAGAAATATGCCCTCAAAGCTTTCCTAAGTTAAAACAAACATTTTGTAGACTATGTTGTATGTTATTCTTGTTCTGATGAAATAATATATACATACATATCTTCCTTTTTGCTGCAAACGACAGAAATCCAATACTAGCTTATAATAAAATTCATTTATTGATACATATCTAGAATTCACACTTTTAGATAGGCCTATATGCCCATAAGTAATTTTTATTAAGAATGTCAATGAAACTCTCTATTCAAAACTAACATTTATTAAGGGATCACTCATCAGAGAACATGAAAATTTCAAGATGACTCTAAGAGGAGTGCTAGAACCAGGGCTAGCCAAGTTTCAGATGAGGTTTCTGTGTGTCTGTATATATGAAGAGATGTGTCATGAAAGTTATGGAAGAAAGAGAAAATCAACTATGGTTTTCAAACATGAGTCCCCAATTCTAAAGGTATAAAGACAGGTTCTCTGAGATGCTTCTCACATGGACAACTCTATGTTGTTTACTTCAACGGGATATCAGCAAAGGTTTATTTTATGATGGTAATTCTCCACAGGCTGACAAGTGTCCGGAATTTCAAAAGATAACATCTCCCAAATAATGTCAAATGAAAAGACTTCTCAAATTCACAAGTAACCCTTTCTTTAAAAAAATCCTAGGTAAAAAGTTTAAGACTGCCATAAATGCCAACTTTATACATTACCAGGGTTTCAAAGTACTTAGAAGGAAAGGATTAAGTATGCTTTGCATATCCCAAACAAAGATTTCATTCTTTTAGTCACTCAACAAACACAAGCGCACATGATGCAGACTGAACCATAAAAAACTGCTGATATTTAACCATTTTAAAACTATAATGAATGGTAAGTTCATATGATTCAATAACAACAACACCAACAAAAAAACAGACATTGTCTAGATACTAGGCAACAGCAATAAACAAAACAAATTCTCAGGCTTTATGTAGAGCTTGCATTCTGTGTGTACTGGCGTGGGGTAAAACACATATAAACAAATAAAGGTATACCACTTTACTTTTACAGATGATCTACATTAGGACCTATTTTTGTTTTTCATTTTTTAAAAATAATATTTTATTTTTGGAGAATGTTTACACAGCAGTTTAGGTTCCCTTAAACAATTTTTACACAGGTTTTTTTTACTTAACATTGGTTACATTCTTCATAATGCATAAATACTGAAAAAATTTCCGTTCTGGTTGTCCCATTTCTACTAATCTAGTTTTCCTGCCTTCTTACATTCTCATTTTTGTTTCAAAGTAATTATTGACCATTTTTGCTTTAATAGAGTTGTTTTTAAAGGTACACAGGACTTAAAGGCTATAGTCATTATTTTTTGAGCCAATTTGTTTGTTTCTATAAACTTTAATTGTGAATTGAGTGAAGGCTTACAGACAAGACCATCAGTTTGACACTCCACATATCATACAGTTTGTTTCATCTCAATGACTGCAATCCCCTCTATGCAGCAACAGTTATCCCGCTTCTTCCCTATGATTCCTATTTGCATTCTACTCACCTTCCTATCCCTTTTCAAATTTCTCCATAGGTAAGTTGTCCTTTTGATTTGGAATGACCATTCCGTAGTGAGCACACTTTATTAGTTGCTGTCCTCCCTATATACCTAGCTATTACTTGGCTGAAAATTGGACCACAAGGGTGAGTTCCTTTCCAGACCTAAACGGTAGATGAGGGCCACAGTCACAGCTTCCTCTCTGACCAGTATACCTGGTTTTTGTTTAAGTAATTTTGAGTTTTGTTTCACATTTTCTCTCACTCTATCCAGGACCCTTTCAAAGCAGCTAGTAGTGGTAGCCAAGCATCATTTAGTTCTTCTGGTCTCAGAGTTGTGGAGACTGATGGTCACATGTTGCATCAATCCACTAGACTTAATTGATTCCAAGCACCTTCAAGTCTCATCACCACTCTTTTGCACATGGAGAAACCAATAGCTGCACCTCACACGGCTGTTCATGAGCTTTTAAGATCCTAGATAACACTCACCAAAGTACGAGGCAGAATATTGTCTCTGTGGACTATATTATGCCAACTGACCACGGTGTTCCCTGAGACTATGGTCCTGAGCCCCCAGGCCCAGAAGCTCTTTGCCTTAAGATACTTGATAATATCTAAGAAGTTTTCATCATTTTGCCCGCTGATGCTCCACCACATTTATAGCTGTGTTTTCAGGAAAGTTAAATACCCATGTACAAATATCCTCTTTCAAAAATTAGTCCCTATTTTTTCTAACTGGAAGACTTCTAAAGAGGATTTTCACTTTTACAGAAAAAGGTGAAAACTGAAACTAGCATTGCAGAGAGCCTTTAAGAGGTAGGGTGTACCCTGAGCAGGGAGAGTGATGTCCCCAAATTCTTTTCTCAGTATCTCAACATCAAGCCACCAATACTTTGAACCATATCGGTGGATTGTATGTATTCAAGTTATTGTAGGTTGTATATACTATTTGGTATAATACAGATCTATTTTGGGGGATCAGGAATGTTCAAAAATTTTTCCCATATAAATTAATGATAATTACTTCTTTGCTTTTACACTATTTCAGTTTAAGAAAGATTCCAAGGAACACTACAGTCCAGCACAGGGGAGCATAAATTAGATAATATTGTTTGCTTTAGAGAAGAACACAAAAGGTTAAGGGAGCTAGTCAGCCCAAGGGGCTGGCTGTTGTTACTTTATGCAGGTAGTCAGTGAGAGCCTCATCGTTAAGACAATATTTGAACAAAATTCTAAAGGAAAGAAGGTTGTTGTTGTTAAGTGCTGTCAAGTTGGCTTGGACTCATAGTGACCCCGTAAAGGGCTTCAAAGGGTTTTAATTTTTTGTGGTAGCAGAAAGCACTATCTTTCTCCCGTGGTGATGCTGGTGTGCTTGAACCATAAATGAACCTTACGATTCGCAGTCCAGTGCTTATGTATGGAGCCACCACAAAAGCCTCTAAAATTCTTCTACAATGGAAAGGAAAAATCTGGTCAACAATATGAAAATTTCTGTTGAGCTTATGCCCAAAATCACAAAAATAAACAATCCAGCTAAAGTCACTGTAGTATTATAACAGTTACAATCCTAATCAAACTTACAATCCATAGCTAACAAAAATTATCACTGCTGCTTACAATTCTTATTCTATATGCGACACAAGTTTCATTGTATTTTTTGGCCCATGTTTCAACCTAATAAATATCTAGGAATAAGAATACACATAAAGATAAGCAATTTATTCTTACATCTTTTGAAGAACCTGGGCCATCACAACCCCACTCGTTAAATCTTCCACAGTCTGGCATGGTGCATCTACATTGAATGTCTGGATCTAGAAAAAACAAACAGGATAAAAAGATTCTATGGTTAACTACATTAGGCTGCATTTGTGCTTATTTTATCTTTGAGGAAAGAGTAACTCTAAAAAGTAGACCAGATTATTGCCATTTCCCCCCTTAGGTAAAAGATAAATTACGATGGGCATTGGGAAACATCCCAACATGCATTTTGCTCTCATATAATCAATCAGTCTAAAAAGATCACTGTAACTTTAGTCCTTCTACTAAGACAGATTCCACCACCATATCTGTCAATTTGTTGTACAATGGTGGTTAGTGTTGCTGGAAGCTTTGCCATTGGTGTTGTAAATACCAGCAGGGACACCCATGGTGGGTAGGTGGATCAAGGAAGATGCAGAATAAGGTAAACTAAGAAGGATATGTGGACCAATTCTGAATGGGTAGCTACTGAAAACCTCATGCATAGACTATTACTGTCTGATACAGTGCCACAACATGAGCCCCTCATATTGGAAGGCACTCACATGGGGAAGAGCTACCTCCTCAAAGCAGATTAGGTCTTAATGAAGTGAAGGTAGCAAAACTTCTGATACCTCCATTTGCTGATGGAGCATATCTCAAAATAAAAAGCAACAGTTGCAAACATTCATTAATAATCAGAAAATGGAATGTATACAATGTATGAATCCAGGAAAATTAGAAGCTGTTAAAAATGAGGTGGAATGCATAAAGATTGATATTCTAGGCATTAGTGAGTTGAAATGAACTGGTATTAGCCAATCCAAATGAGGCAGTCATATGGTTGGTTTACTATGCTGGGAAAAACAAATTAAATAGGAATGACATAGTCATCATCAAAAAAACCATTTCAAGATCTATCTTGAAGTACGATGCTGTCTGTGATACGAGAATAGCCATACACCTACAAAGAAGACCAGTTAATAACAATATTATTTAAATTAATGTACAAACCACTAAAGTAAGTGATGATGAAACTGAGGAATTACATAAATTTCAGTCTGATATTAATTAAACATGCAATTGAGATGCATTGATAATTACTGGTGATTGGAATGCAAAAGTTGGAAACAAAGAGAAATGATCAGTAATTAGAAAATATGGCCTTTGTGATATAAATGCTGGAGATTGCAGACAAAATTTTACAAGACCAAAGACTTACTCATTGCAAATACCCTTTTTAAACAACAACAAAAAAGGCAATTACACACATGGACCTAAACAGATGAAATACACAGGAATAAAACTGACCACATCTATGGGAAGACACAGTAGAAAAGCTCGATGTCATCAGCTGAAGCAAGGTTAGGGACAGACTGTGGAACAGACCACCAATTGCTGATATGCAAATTCAGGCTGAAGCTGAAGAAAATTAAACAAGTCTACGAGAGCCAAAATATAATGCTTAATATATCTCATGTGAATTCAGAGACCACCTCAAAGACAGATGATGTATTAGACACTAATGACCAAAAGCCAAAGAAGTTGTGGGATGATATCCAGAACATCAACAGTAAAAAAAAATTAATGATCATTAAGAAGACAAGAAGGAAGGAAAAGACGAAAATGGGTATCAGAAGAGACTCTGAAACTCACCCTCCAGCACAGAGATGCTAAAGCAAATGAAAGAAATGAGGAGGTAAAAGAGTTGAATGGAAAATGTCAAAGTGCATACGGAAATGTGCAAAGACCTAGAGGTAGAAAACCAAAAGGGAAGAACATGCTCAGCATTTCTCAAGCTGAAAGAACTGAAATAAAAATCCAATCCTCAACTCTCAATATTGAAGAATTCTATGAGCAAAATAGTGAATGATGCAAAAAGCATCAAAAGAAGATGGAAGGAATACACATTCACTGTACTAAAAAGATATGGCTGATGTTCAGCTATTTCAAGAGATAACATATGATTAAGAACCAACTGTATTGAAGGAAGAAGTTCAAGGTGCACAAAAGGCATTGGCAAAGAACAAGGCTCCAGGAATTGACAGAATACACACTGAGATCTTTCAACAAAATGATACAGCACTGGAAGCACTCATTCAACTATACCAAGAAATTTGAAAGAGATCCATACATGTATCCATTCCAAAGAGAGGTGACCCAGTGGCATGTGGAAATCATCAACAATATCATCAATAATGTAAGCAAATTTTTGCTTTTTATATACTGTTACAGATGCAGCAGTATATCAATAGGTAACTGCCAGAAATTCAAGCTAGATTCAGGAGATGGCTCTTGGCTGAAAATTAGAAAATATCAGAAAGATACTTAGGCTTATTGACTACGCAAAGGCTTTCAACTGTGTAGACCATGACAAACTATGGGTAACATTGTAGAGAATCAGTATTCCAGAATATTGGAATGTGCTCATGAGGAACTTGTACACAAACCAAGAGACAACTATTAGAACAGAAAAAGGGGATACTGAGTGGTTTAAAATCAGGAAAGATGTGATACAGCCTGGGCTATATTACTTCACTATACTTATTCAATCTGTATACTGAGCAAATAATCCAAGAAGCTGGATTATATGAAGAAGAATACAGCATTAGGATTGTAGGAAGACTCATTAACAAACTGTGACAGGACAAAATCTTGCTTGCTGAAAGTGAAGAGGAGTTGAAATACTGATAAAAGTTCGAAGACTACAGACTTCAATATGGATGGCACCTCAACATAAAGCAAACAAAAATTTTCACAACTGGACCAATAAATATGCTAAATGGAGAAAACATTGAACCTGTCAAAGACCTCATGTTGCTTAGATCCACAATCAACACTCATGGAAGCAGCCGCTAAGAAATCAAACAACATATTGCGTTAGGCAAAACTGCTATAAAAGACCTCTTTAAAGTGTTAAACAAAGATGTCAGTTTGAAGACTAATGTGTGCCTGATCCAAGCCATGGTTTTTTCAATTGCCTCATATGCATGTGAGAGCTAGACAACTAATAAGGAAAACTGGAGAAGAACTGATGTATTTGCATATTGAAAGTACCATGTACTGCCTGAAGAACAAAGAAATCTGTGTTGGTAAAACTACAGCCAGAATACTCCTTAGAAGCCAGTAGGTCAAGATTTTATCTCTTACACTTTGAACATGTTGTACAGAGGGATGAGTCCATAGAAAAGAACATCATGCTTAGTGAAGTGGAAGGTCAAAGATAAAAAGGAAGACCCCCAACAAGACTGACAGTGGTAGCAACAATGAGCTCACACATAACCACAATGTAAGAACGGCAAGGATTAGACAATGTTCTGGTGTGCATAGCATCTGGAGTAACTCGAAGCCATCTAACAAGCAACAGGTTCAGAAATGAACATGCCTACAACATTATTGCATTGGGCAAATCTGCTGCACAGGAACTTTTTAAAGTGTTGAAGAGCAAGGATGTCAGCTTGAGGACTAAGGTGCGCCTGACCCAAGCCATAGTATTTTCAATAACCTCATATGGATGTGAAAGCTGGACAGTGAATAAGGAAGATTGTAAAAGAATTGATGCCTATGAATTGTGGTGCTGGAGGAGAATACTAAAAGTGCCATGGACTGCCAAAAGAACCAATAGATCTGTTTTGAAAGAAGTGCACCCAGAGTGCTCCTTGGAGGCCAAGATGGCTAAACTTTGTCTCTCGTACTTTGGACATATTGTCAGGAGGGAACAGTTGTTAGAGAAGGATGTCATGCTGGATAAGATGGAGGGTCAGAGAGAAAGAGGAAGACCCCCAACGAGATGGATCTGCCAAGTGGCATCATTGATGGCGTCAAGTGTGGCAACAGTAGTGAGGTTGGCCCAGGATCGGACATTCTTTTGTTCTGCTGTGCATGGGGTCACTGAGTCAGTTCCGACTTGATGGCACCTGACAACAACAACAATAAGACACTATGGTGTGGCGCTGTGGGTTAAAGCGCTGGATTGCAAGTTGGTTTGAACCACAAGGTTGGCAGTTCACGCTCACCAGCCGCTCCTTGGGAACCCTATACAGGGTCACTATGGGTGGGAACAAACTCAATAGCAATTCACAATGATAATGAGAAGACACTATGGGTCCAAGTGATGCTTGCTTGAGCTTCTGGGGAAAAAAATGTCAACCACCTCTTGATGAATATGTTGCCCTAATTTCTGACAGTACTCATTTTACGACAATTGAGGCAATCAGTTCTTAGGATAAAGTCAATGAAGTAGATGGCAGAGAGAAAAGAGAAAAAACAATTTGATCTTTTAGGTCAAAATTGAACTACTGATTAAAAACCCTCCAACTATGTGAGATACATGTCTTCATTGTTTAAGCCAGTCTAGATTGAGGTTTCTGTTAGTCAAGAGCCAAAAATATCCTGATACAGACACAGAAGGTACACTTCCTACGGTAAAGTTAATATTTAATTCATTTCTACTAACAAATGTACTGTGAATTAGAACTTTCTTTGTACTGGTCAGCAGGATGTGGCCAGAAAAAAAATGTTATAATTTTCCTAGTAAAAATTATTTCTATGAGTTAAGAAAAAGTCAATGAGCCAACAATAACTAGAACAAGTAGTACAACTAGAACTTGGAAAATAAATTACAGGCCAGGCCCTCAGAGTCTATGTTGTTAGGCTGTAACTCCTAGGCATTCTATGTACAACAGAAAACAACGATGCCCAATCATGTACTATCCTCACAATTGTGATGTGATAGCTGAGCCTATTGTTGCTGCCACCATGTCGAACTATCTCACTGAAGGTCTTCCTTCCTCCTTTTTTGTGATCCTCCACTCATTCAGTGAAATGCAAGCGTTCTAACAGATTATATAAACACTAAACACAAAGATTAGAAGTGAGAGTGGCATGCAAGCTAATAATGAGAAGAAGGTTAATAAAGATTCAATGAAGAGATATCAATGGTTTAATGGTAGAATTCTTGCCTTCCACACTGGAGACTCAGGTTAAATTCCTGGCCAATGCAGTTCATAAACAGCAACCATCCATCAGTGCTATGAATAAGTTTCTACAGAACTTCCAGATGAACAAGGACTAG